AAATATTTCCTATACTTAATCCACGATGCTTCACCAACTTGCAGGGTGGAGTATAAGAAGAAAGCAAGAATTAGGTTTCGTTAGGAGGGTCCTTCTTTGCAGCCTCTGCTGCCGCCTTATCTGCTTCAATCTCAGCAAAAGTAACATCGATTTCAGCTTCATCGAGTTGCTGCAGCCCATGTTCTCTTGTCATCACCGCAATTTCTATGTTCTTTCCCCCACTCTCATCAACAACCTAAATGTAAGAAGAAACAATTTAAAGTTAAATTTCCCAAGCTAATGCATAAAAAATTGTACAAGTACAGAAGAAATGGATACATTTGCATATTGCATAAAAAACTGAGAAATATACGTTACCACTGTATATCTTAAATATGCACACCAATGTTCAATTGGTAGGCTACACCTCCTCGATAAGCTAGTAAGATGTGCAAGTTTGGAATATGAACTATCAAAGATTTGGCACCAATCAAATGATCTGGAAAGTGCAATATAGGTTAGTCAATTGCATGTTATACAATAAACTGGCAGCATCATAAGCTGACTTACAGGATAAAGATACTCTATACATGAGAAATTGTGACCCATCTATTGTAGCATGCATGCCATACATGTAGTACATATGGTGATAAGTTGAAACATACCCAATTGGTAGGCAAAACTTGGACTGGTCAGCTTAAAATTCAAAAACTCATGCTGTCACTGCTTAGGACTACTCTCAAGTTTACTGCAGGTATCGTGGGGTACCAGAAATCTTGAGGATATTTTGTGCTAAATGTGGTACAATAAAATCGTGCATGTTTACTTAGTAGGCACCTTACAAAAAATGTTTATGCAGTAGGTGCTAGAGCCCCACATATATTACTCATCCATATGAAACCGAATATAGCCTAATTACATACCTAACCTAAATTTCCAGCCTAGTGTAAACCTAAATATAAGGAGAATTTCATGATTATCGACTGAAACTTCAATAATGAAAAAATAAATAAAGAACTTAAGCAGCTCATAGAAAAGTCAGAGCACATACATAAGCAGCATAAACCACTAATTGGCAGGACTTCAGCAAAACCTATCTATTAAAACAAAAAAGAAAACAAAAATGGCAGCAATACTAAACTTCCAGCCAACTGGCAGTCCAAGAATCTTGATGATCAAATGTGGTGGAAGGTTTGAGAAGTTTTAACAGCAGGCCCTATCCGAAAGGCAGAAAACCTAGTGACAGTGTCATGCTATGAGGAGCAATCTCTATTAGCAGCAGCTAGCTCCAATGTAATGATGTATACAAGGAGGAGGAGATTCAAAAGTGGCGATGGAAAGTTGAGAAAAGGATTTCAAGTTCCATGGAGGACGAGGACTATGGTTTGAGACGTCCAGTAATGACATCGGATTACCTCTGGCATACGCCCGAGGCCAAACCTAATGTGTCTTGGTATTGGCTTATTCCGTTGTCAAAACATAACGAGTCTTATGTGTCTTGAGTTTTTGCCTTCAAGCATTCAAGACAAGTGAGCTTAACCAGGGTTAAAGGAGTGTTAAAAGGGACACGAGGACACGGGGGAAAGTTAAGTAACGGACCCATGGGTCAGCTAATCACTGCTCTTTTTTTCCCATTCTGCGCGACTGGTGACTGGTCAGGCTTACAGCACGCGGGCAGTGGTATATCAGAATTCGTTTCCGAATACATATCCCACCTTTTGAATAAATAAGGAAAATGTTTAATGAATTGTTCATTCCATTATGGCTTCGGATTCTCTCTGGCCCATGCCAGAGAGGTGCTCTCGGGCCACCACACATGAAGCACCAACTGGCTGGAGAAGTCATTTCATGTGCCCCATGATTTTGACTTCTCCAGCCTTTATTTGACACATGGTGATAAAATTGTGAGATAAAGGGAGAGATATATCAAATGGGGAGAAGTCAAAAATTAGGGGAGAAATGAAATGACTTCTCCCGCCACTTGTCGCTTAAGTGTGGAAGCCCGAGAGCACCTCTCTGAATCCGAAGCCTTCCGTTATGCACGGTCCTTATTGGTCCATTTCTAATGGGATTTCTATAGACATCGAAGGCAGGAAGATCATATATTTTTATAGACCGTCAAACCCGATTTTAGAATAGACCATCAAACCCCCATTTTAGACCTCCAGCAAGAGAATCTTGGCTCTGCTACTACTGAAGGGGTTTTTCCCAGATTGCCCCTTTAGTATGGGGTTCTTCCCCAAATAACCAGGTTTTGAAAACCCTTCTCTAAATACCCTTATCATCTATTTTCCATAATTCAGTATTTATGAAAAGTCTTAAATACCCCTCCACTGATTTTGAAAGAAAAAGAAGAAGAAGAGGGATTTAGGTTCGTGGATGAGAGATCTTCGTTCCCACTCTATTACCGACGAGAGTTCTTCGTTTCGACCCCATTTCCGGCGAGAGTTCTTCGTTCCAAGATGAAGAAGAAGAAGAAGAAGAAGAAGAAGAAGAAGATACGTACATGGATGAGATGAATGAAGCTCACCCACTCCCCTCATCTTCCAAATACTCATCCATTATCATCTATGCTGATTTTGAAAGAAGAAGAATAAAAAAGAAGAGGAAAAGATGAAAAAAAAGCAAAAATTTGAGTTTCCCAAAGTTTTTTGCGCGCAGGGTCGATACAGTGCATCGACCTCGTGCAAAATGCATCAATCATGTACAAAATGCACTAGGTCGATACAATGCATCGACCTCGTGCATTTTATGCATCAACCTCGTGCAAAATGCATCGACCATGTACAAAATGCACTAGGTCGATGCAATGCATCGACCTCGTGCATTTTATGCATCAACCCCGTGCAAAATGCATCGACCGCGTACAAAATGCACTAGGTGGATGCAATGCATCGACCTCGTGCATTTTATGCATTGACCCCGTGCAAAATGCATCGACCGCGTACAAAATGCACTAGGTTGATGCAATGCATTGACCTCGTGCATTTTATGCATCGACCCCGTGCAAAATGCATCGACCACATACAAAATGGACTAGGTTGATGCAATGCATTGACCTCGTGCATTTTATGCATCGACCTTGTGTATTTTATGCATCGACCCCGTGCAAAATGCATCGACCACATACAAAATGCACTAGGTTGATACAATGCATCGACCTCTTGCATTTTATGCATCGACCTCAATCAAAATGCATCGACCGCGTACAAAATGCATTAGGTTGATACAATGCATCGACCTCTTGTATTTTATGCATCGACCCCATGCAAAATGCATCGACCGTCGTCTTCAAGCTTGGAAACATGACTGTAAGTCATAGAAAATGGAAAAAAACACATGCAAACATATATATAACATGAAATTTAAGGTTTTAAACCATAAATACAATGATTATAAACATTTTTTCATGAATTAATCATACATGCAATGATTTTTTTAAAAACACAATAAACCCAAAAATGAGGGTTGTTCTTCGGTTAATGACGTTTTTTCACGAAAAGAACATAGAAAGAACGCTCTTGGAACAAAGATCTCTCGCCAGAAATGGGATGGGAACGAAGTTCTCTTGTCGGAAATAGGGTGGGAACGAAGAACTCGTCGGAAATGAGGTAGGGAACGAAGAACTCATCAGAAATGAGGTAAGGATACCCAAAGTCTTTTGTTCAAATGATTTGGATAAAATGGGAAAAGTTCGCATGTGCGAATAGATGCACATGTGTGTGGGGGCATTTAGAAAATGGTTTTTAAAACCTGGTTATTTGGGGAATAACCCCATACTAAAGGGGCAATTTGGGAAAAACCCCACTACTAAATGTGTCATATTTCTAAAGGGCCCGCTCAATGCTTTAATGAGCATGACTCGTTAGTACCTCTCCCTATGTATGGATCTTCGTTGAGTAGGCATGTCAACCAACATGGTAATTGTGACCATTAAAACATATTTTTTTTGGGCAAGTTACACTAACCTCCCCTCTTGTTTCTAAATTACACTATCCTCCATCTACTTCTATCCTCCCCTCTTGTTTCTAAATTACATTGTCCTCACTTCTATTCTAATAGATTCTCAATTATGTTAGTATGTCGATTTTCTTATTTTTGGTCGGACGGTCTATAAATATCAGATTGAACTGATTTTTTGTGATGTCTCTTAGGAGTTTTATCTTGACATCTAACGGTCAGATTTTAGAACAACTCGCTACGTGTCAATATCATGTTATTAGGTGCCGCTCATCAAGGGTTTTAATGAGCATGACTCACTAATAATGTAACACATGCAGGTTGTTCTAGAATCTGATAGTTGAATACCAAAATGGGTCTCTTGAAAGATACGTGACAAAATATTAGCCCGATCAAACATATATAAGTGAGTCATGTTCATTAAAACTTTCAATGAGCGGCCCCTAATAACATAATACTTGGTAGGTTGTTATAGAATTTGACCGTTAGATGTCAATATGGTTCCCTTGAGGAATACGTGGCAAAAAATCAACTCGATCAGACATTTTATAGACCATCTAATAAAAAATAAGAAGATCATTATACTAACCAAAGGGGAAATTTTTGTAATTTTACCCAATCTTAGGGAGGTTAGTATAATTTACTTTTAATTTTTATTTTTGCATAAGAAACATATGGTATTAAATGAAAAACGTGTCTTACCCAAAAAAGAAAAAAAAAATTGTATTAATATTCCAGGTGTCTTTGTAGCTGAGATATATAAAATCAACAAATGGGACTAAGGTTTGGAATTGCGTTGATATCAGGTAGTTTCGGTTCGCCAAACGAAATCGAAATTTCGAAAATTTTGGTTGTTTCCATAAATTTTAGTATTTTTTTTATTATTTTTATTAAAATGAAATATTTCAACTCTATTTCATGAAATATTTGTTAAAATAATATTTTATTAAAGGATATTCCATATAAGAGCTTTCATGACGAAGTTATTGAGAGTGGGGATGAGCTACATCTTGTTGCACTGATCTAGATTTAGATCAAATAGTGTCGAATAGAAATCTAAATGGAGTGTGGCCAAGTGGTAAGGCTATGGGTTTTGGTCCCACTATTTGGAGGTTTGAATCCTTCTGTCCTAGAGCATACCCAGTAAATTTAATATAGTTATATAAATACTAGCTAAGACCCCATGCGATGCATTTGAGTACAAAGAAAAATGAAAAAAAAATAACTAAAAAAAACAGTTGAGATAAACGTGGAGTTGATCTATGGGTACTCCCAAATCTACTCCCTAACCCCTTGAGTCTTGTCCTTTGAGAGAGAGAAAATATGAATATGAGATACATGAGAGAAAATTTAGGAATAAATAATTGAAGGTTTTTTTAGGATCAAACAGAAAATGAGGAGACTTAATAAGTGGGGATAGAGAGAGAAAAGTGGGGAAAGGGGGGGGGGGGAGGGATACGTCTCTACACATCCTTATCTGTGTGAGAAAATAGAGAACCACAATTCCCTGAAATCCCTCAAATGATTTTTGAATTGAGAGGGAGACGAATGTGAGAGAAATAGTTAACGGTTGAGATTAAAGAAGGGTGTCACGTGACATTCTTAAAACATAACTCGTAGGATTCATGGGATTGGAGAGCAAAAAGAGGGGGTTAGGTGACACTTATTTCTTTATATTATAGATAGATTATTATTTTATTATTGTAACTTTTTTTTCGAAATTTCACAAATTTTTTTATAACAATTTTAGAATATTTTGGAAATTTATTAATTTAAAAAAAATAAATATCTGAAATTTCGATCGAAATATGTCAAAACGAAATGTAAGAGATTTCACGGTGGGAATGAAACCGAAGTTTCATAAAATTTCATTAGGATTTCGAACCTTGCCAAACTTTTACTAATATACACCAATTTATTTTTCGGTGAAAGAGGAATATAATGGTGAACCATAATTAACCCTTGTGAGACCTTCTCTTTTTTCTCCTTAAAATATTTAAATGTTTCGACTCTTTTATTATTGGTTTTTTTTTGTTAGACTATCATTGTAACCTATAAATATTTATTTTAACAAGTCATAAAAAAATTACCTTATAAGGACCCTCACCACGTATATGTATGAATGCCTCATCAAGCAACTTACTTGAATTTCGTTTCTTTTTTATGGACGGTTTGCAATTATAAACAAAAAAAAAAAAATCACCGAATCCATAATTCAAATTTATCAAATCTAAAGAAATAAAAATAGTTGAATCCAAAGAGAAAGACCATCAAATCCAAAGTTAAAAATCACCGAACTGGAGCTGCTGGAACGAATGCAGGATTCACTCATTTTCACAAATCGAGTTGAACCGTAATGCATTGAACACCCCATTTTTGCACCCTTAAATCTCTTTTTTATTAACTTTTTTTGTTTATTTTTTAAAATTTATTATTTTATTTTGATCTTATTATTTTATCTCCCATGAGCTTTGAGGAACCCTTGGGCCCGAGAGAGAGAGATCCAACAAACACCCCACTGATCACTAAACCCTAAACCCATACCTAAACTCATTTCATAAAATCCACAAGCAAAAACCATGCTTAAAGAAAAAACCAAATCCATTTCCTCTAAAAACCAAGCCCATCATCCCAAGCCTACTCACATTCCCCTAAACCCATTCATCTCACCCAAGTCCATGTCTAAAACCCACACCCATTACGTGTTTTCCAAAACCTAGCCAAATCTAAACCTCAAACCCTAAGCCCCAAGCCCATTTCCTCACCCTTATAAAACCTTTGAAAAACAGAAAAAGAAAAAAAACCTAATTCGTTGGTGGGTTGAGAGGAGAGAGAGTTGCCGCCCCCTTTATGTAACGTGTTTTCTAGTTTCTTCGAGAAAAATTGGCCTCCTTGAGTTTCTTCGAAGGTAACAAACCTCTTTGAGAGAAACTCTCATTTTGATTTAATTGATTGATGCCCAATTACACATTTAAGATAAGTTTAAATAGAGAAGACTCTTTTTCATAACTACCCACTACCTATAACTAACCCTTAACTTTAACCAACCACTAACCCTAACCAATCCGAACTCTAACCCTAACTCTAGTCACGCAACATACCTTTCCCCTTACAAAAATCTTGTCCTCAAAATTTAGATTTTTTTTTACATAAACAAGAATTAAATTAAACAAAAATCCTCAAGTAAAAATCCACAATTGTTGGGCTTCCTTGTACGTTGATTTTCACCATAAAAAAACACAACCCCGTTTTGTCTTGATTTTTGATTGATGATTCTTGTTGAATCTGAACACTTGAAACTTTGTTTATTGCATCTTCAACTTCATTTGACACAACATTTTTGATTCCTTTTGTTGCGTCGTCAATTTCATCTTACACAACATTCTTGACTTATTTTGCTGCATTTTCAACTCCACCTTGCATGTCATTTTTAATTGCATCTTCAATAACATCTTTTACTAGTGTAAAAAATGTTTTAAATACAGTTTCGATGACCGAAAAATTTTCATTCATAATTCTCTGATCATCATTAAGAACTCTAAAATCTTCTCGAATCTCCTTTCAAGTATAAGTGTCAATGCTTCGAAAACAAATCCACCTAACTCTTGATACCAATGTAACGTTCTTCAAGTTTTTTTGAGGAAAAATGGCTTCCTTGAGTTACTTCAAGGGTAACAAACCTCTTTAAGAGAAACTCTCATTTTGATTTAATGGATAGATAAGATTAAATAGAGAAGACTCTTATCATAACCATCCATTACCTATAACTAACCCTTAACTCTAACAAACGACTAACCCTAACCAATCCTCACCGACTCTAACTAACTGTAACTCCAGTCACGTAACACTTTCTCTCCGATTTTCCCTCCTCTCTCTCCTCTCACTTCCTCTCCTGAGCTCCCCCTAGGAGAAGGCAATGGGTGGCAGCTAGAACTCCACCCTCATCTCGGTTTTGGCAGCAGCAAGCCACACCTCCAGTAGCTCCCATCTTCTTCTCCGTCGAGCCACGGTTGCAGCACCTCCAGCTACGCCTTTCTTCTTCCCGGTGGCATCTCCCACACCTGCGCGCAACCACGGCCATCTCTAGCGCCCTGTCCAACCTCCTCTATCTTCATTCACGGCCACCGTCGTCAACAGAGGAGCACCGTCCAGCTCCTCACAGGCATACCAAGCAGCCCTATTCCGGCGACAGGTAAATCCTCTATCCCTTTTTTTTTGGTCCATTTCAATTTAGTTTGCTAATCTCATTATTAGATTAGTTTATTATTTGTAGTCAGACTAATTTTAATTAGATCTGTTTTTTTTTTTTTTTAAAATTAACTTCAAATTAGTTTAGGGATAATTCTAGAGTTAAGAAAAAAGAGGAAACAAAATCTAATCCTAAGTTCTTTTTAGATTAGTTATCTAATTTCCCTTCTATTATAGATTTAGGTTATGTCTTAAATCATGTTTTACTATAATCTTAAGGTTAGTTTTTAACGTAAGTAGATCATGCCTTTAGTTAATTAAAATCTGTTAGCCTCTAGATTAGTTTTAGATTAAGTTTAAATTTGTTCTTTTGTTTAGAATAAATCTGCATTTTGGTTTGTTTTAGTTTGTTTTGTTAGGGCGTTTTTAATCTAGATTAAATATGATTTTTGGATTGCTTTTTACGTTAGTTTTTAACTTGTATAAAATCTGTTTAGGTTAGTTTCAACTTGTATAAATCTGATTTTTGGATTTTAAAGTTGGTTTCCTTACTTGTATAAATCTGTTTTTGACTTTTTGTTATGTTAGTTTTCTTACTTGTATAAATCTGATTTTTGGATTTTTTTAGGTGAGTTTCCTTACTTGCATACACTGGCGGAGCCACATGGGGCCCAGGGGGGGCTTCAGCCACCCCCTGTAATATATATTTTTTACTATAGCAATAATAAGGGTGTAGCCTGGGAAAGGGGCGGAGCCGGAGGACAGGGAGCTCTAGTCCCCCCCTGAATTTTTGAGAAAAAAAGATTTTCTTTACAAAATGGACACAAACAGAGGCGATGTCCCATGAACTTGGCCCCAAAAAAAAATTTTCAGGGGCGCGTAGAACCCCCATTGTTAGCCCCCCTTACAAGAGAATCCTGGCTCCACCCCTACTTGCGTCAAATCTGATTCTTTTTAGAATTAATTTAACTTGTAACAAAATCTAATTGTAGTTTCTTTTAGGGTTAGTTTTAATCAATTTCACTAGGTTAGTTTTTGATCCTAGGTTAGATTCTAACCATAGTTAACTTGCCAATCACTCATACTCCGCAATGAGCTTAAACTACTATATAAAACCCCCTAAAAAAATAAACATGATAAATGCAAAAATCCCAAAAACATTCAAATAAACTAAAAAGATCAATCAGTCCCTAATCAATCAACGCCTCCTATGAGCTCCCTAATGCAAAAATCCCAAAAAATTCACATAAACTAAAATAAAAGATCAATCAATCCCTAATCAATCAACACCCCCCTATGAGCTCCTAGGCTAAGTTACCATACTCCAGAATGAGTCTAAATTACGACACCTCACATTCCAGAACTACAGTGGCTTGATCCGCCAAGTTAGGTATGTAGGCAGCCTTAAACGGGTCCAGCTCACCTAGGATTAGTTTCCATTTCACCCCTCTTGCTTTACCTGCTTAATTAGCATAATTAGTTAATTACAAAGACTTAGGTAATTCCTCTTCATTTTGGTGTTATTTGGCTTATCCCAGGGAATAGGTAACCATCTTAGGATGGGGTCCCAGGGTGCCTAACACCTTCCCTGGGGCTTAAATGAATCACTTACCTAGACTCTCTCCCGTGGACCTTAGGCCTTGTCCATTTATCTTCAGTGTAGTCAAGGCGTCCGAGGCCTGGCTAGGCTAGGCGCTGCCTAGGTGACGCCCAGGCGATAAGAATAGTTAAATTATATTTATACATATTAAATATATGCATACGTAATATTAATATATACACATATTACATAAATACTAGATAAATAATTAGTTTGAAGTTTTCAAACTTTTAAGGTGATTTTGAGTGTTGACTTTGGATGTTGTTTTTAAAGTTTAAATGCACCACTTATATCTAAGATAGTGCTTTCAGACTTTAAAAGTGAGTTTTAAAATATGGTTTAAGA